AACGCTATAATCCATCTCTTTATTGATCGGTAAGAGTTATATACAGTCATATTAGGAATACCGTATTCCTAATTTTGTATTGTACTGTATAGTATAATTGCATTATGGATCAAAGAGGGAAACGAACAAAGGACGGAGAACTAGAAACAAGAACTACCCTGCCGTACATCAAGGACCTTTCGGAAATGAAATTCTATAGAATTCAAGTAGTCCGCCAACCTACCGCCAGTCTAAGGGTATATTCTTACAAAACAAAAAAAGGAAAAACAACGGAGAAAGAAAAAAACTTCTATCTACAAAATNCTACAAAATAATCTCTGCGGACTGGCCACAATCACTAATTTAGCTCGATGAGAATCAAGAAAACCATCAATTCAGTGAGAATCATCTATACCTTTTCCAATTTAGGATGTCCGAATATCAGTTTAAAATATCGTGTTGGTATGTGGATAGTAACTTCACAGTATAGGGTGAAAACGTGACCTCAATCATGTCGTGATGATGCAACATGGCGTGACAAGTTGTACGTGAAGGTCAACGGAAATTTCCAGAATTGACCTTGTTCCCCTTTCACTCTGCGCGGAATCAAACTGAAGGTGCATGGAGTGTGATCTAACAGGCAGTGAGACAAAGGATACGTGAGGACTACAGTGTGTTACTGGCTTGATGTCAATGCCCGAATGGCGCATGTAATGCCTGGAAGAAGTGTCCCGTGGAGCGCAGGTATTTGTGACAGCAGCATGCTGCAAAAATCTCGTAGGACACATCACGGATTTGCACCCGACCGCATCCAGCTGGAAGATTTGTGATCATTTCCATTATAATAAACAATTTCACTCTTCCTTTTTTTGCTGTTGTTTTGCATTTATTATGCGAATTGTGTTTAGATTGCTCAAACAAGTGCGGGAAGACCAATATTCGTAATGTAACCTTTTAGGGTGAATAGGCTGATTTCCTGCTGTTAGTCGCGACAGCTCCGGTCAGGTTCTTTAGAGGTGCGTCGCATTAACCCCCCGGTACAAAAAGCTTCAGTCATCTGTCTGACGGAGTGCCGACATACTGAGGGTGGATAAGAAGTAATTAAAATTACCAGTAATATTCACCCGCTTATCAAGGAACACAGCAACTGAAGTTGGCACCACACTTTGGTTACAACATGACAGTGTACGACCACACATTGCTTTGGTGGTGAGACGTTTCCTCTATTCGGAATTTAACTGCAGACGGACTGTCCAATGAGGACCAAAGGAATTGCCTCTTAGATCACCTAACCTGTCTCTCTTGAACTTCTTTCCGTGGGCATATAGAAAGCGAACCACTTATTCCCAAAACTTTTGAACCACTGATGAGCTATAATTGAGTATTGTCGAATAGTACGAAAGTATTCCAACTGCTACCTACTATTCTGGAGGTGGCAGAAAACTGTCTTCGCTGTATTTTGCTATGCAAGCAGAAGGATGGAAAATATATTGAGCGACTTATAAAGTAAATATGCATTTTTCAATAACATTTTTTCCCTCCTACGGAATCCGACGATTCTCTACCAACACTTAAGCAGCATCGGATTCAGAACTTATTCTCCTCCTATGACGGCCGGAAATCACACGACCGATCGTGTTCATTTATCGATCGGTCGGATAGTTCAGCCACAACAAGGGACCTGGTGCTTACCCCTTTACCGTAGTATATGACATCAGTCCCCATGCTGCGTCATCACTACATGACTGAGGTCACGTTTTCACCCTGTACTGTGCAAGGCACTGTCAACATAGCAACCTGACATCTTAAATTGATGCTGTGACATCCTAAACTGAGATTCGGACATCTTAAATTGAAAAGACATGATAAGCTCGATCAAAACAGACGAAAACATTTCTCAAGGCTTGGCACTTTTCAATTAACTCAGTGAGCAGATAGACTTGAAACAAAGGATCAATCTTCCTTCTCCCATAACACTCTAGCTCAAATGTGAACCAGGTTAAAGACAATGAGAAAAACGGACAAACGTAATCGCTGAGGTAGAACATATATAAGCAAACGGGTACAAGCAGAACAACGCAATTGCACGCGCATTGGAGATGTCACCTCTGCTGGTGATGAACTGTTCGCAAGCAATTTACCAAGCTCGGCGGACAGGTGAAATCGATTTCAGTTTCCTCGAGCTACGAAAACCGATTTATAATACTTTTTCAACATCGAGAGACTGCTAACGTCAGGGTACTTTTTAAAATCAACTCCATTCGACCTGAAAATTTGTCACAACCACCAATCACGTGATGCCAGTGCCATATGACGTTTACTAGTGAAAGTAGATTGTTCATTCAAAATCACCACTGGTGGTGTTATATGACCCGGTAACAAAGCGTTCAGAAACTCAGCAGCTCGAATACGTAACCACCACCAAAGACGACCACCTAGGATACAGAACTCATCGTCATTTCTAAGTTATCCTACTCTATATATAGTTTTCTAGGAGTCAGAGCCCCGATTGTCTTTTGGACGATGTTCATGGTGACCTGTTGCGAGAATTTAACACACTGAAATTTGACCTCGAGCTCACCTCGTCGTTATTTATCAGCAGTGCGGATTAGTCGTCTTTCACTAATACTACTTTAGAGTTGACATGCAGTAACTGGATCAAGCTCACTGATGATCACCAATCAAAGATAAACAGCGATAAAACCGACCCCAATCATGGGCTTGCGCTGCGGTGTCATCATCAACAGTGCAAACCGGATGATGTTGTCGGCATTTTGAGGATTGTGGAAGAAAATCAACGACCGAGATTTCTGACAATTTTGCACCAGATCGGGTCCCCCAGGGCTATGTAAATATTAACCACACACCGAGTATACGTGCGGTCAGCCGACTAGGTTTGCTGATTTGGCCAATAAGAGAATAAAGGAAATCAGTTTGTACAAACAATTCCGGGTCATTCACAAAAAAAACAACTTTGATCTAGGAAAAACCGACTAGCTTCCAATGGCCACTTGAACAGTCAGAACCAAGCCTGCGATTTCCCGCCCCGCTGATCTGTTTCATTTTCTCAGTGGATCTGGAGCGAAACAGCTCAGAGATTGCAGATTCACACTGGATTCTTATCCAGGTGATCACAAAAAATCAATGATCAAGGAAGGCGTATTGGTCACACAGAGCCACTCTGTCGGCGCATCTGACAGGCCTTGGGAGCAACATACAGATATACAACCGTTACCAATGAACATATGGGTGATCGTCTCATGCATATTTATATCGCCACATCATAGAAGAATCCTGTTGTGGGGTTGTGTAACACGGAGTGGATCGGCGATTTCCAGTCTATCCAATGACAGAAAAATATTGGCGTTATGTCATGCAATGTTGATGTGCGGATCAATGGAAAGGTACAACCTGAATACATAAAGTAGTCAGTGCGTCGGTTTAATAGCCTCCCTCCGGTGCGAATCTCGGTGGATTCGGCGTGCATTCACGGCAGAAAACTCTGAGTAAGGCCGAAACAGTTGCACAGTGCTTTAGCAGACTATAATTAGTGAGCAAAACATTGGTTCTATGCACATAATATCCCTTCAAATACAAAACAATCCCCTAAGCTCTTCACGTAAAGACCAATGCTTATTACACCGATCGTTGAGACCCAAAATCTCCTTTTATACTCATAACTGTGAGTGTTTCGTCTCATCCACCGCACCCATTTCAAGTGTTTTTAAGTCTGGGCTTTCCAGACTGTTTTATTTCCCTACACTAATTAAATCGACTGCCACCAAAGGTAAGTCTGAGATATTCCTGTGATCGAAAGATTGGGTGGCATTACTGGCCCCTCCGATCTCGGATGGATTGACAACTCACATTGCTAATGTTGATTTGTTGCGAACTCACTCACCAAACTAGCC